ACAGATTTTATCTTAAGACATGAGGAGGCAATAAAAAATTAACCATTACCAACTCACAGCCAAGAGTAATGTATGCAAAATGTGAATAATTGCAACAGTGGAAGGGATTCCCCCCACCAGGCACCCAGAGCTATCGCAATAAAACAGGAATGGAGAGAAGGTGGAGATGGCATCATCATAAACCCAGAGACTGAGGGAGCAGAACACCTAACAGACCTTGACATATGATAAATACTGAAAGGTAAGCAGTGGCTTTGCCCGTCAGTAAGGAAATAATGGATTGCACACTTCTCATGGATGGAAACAAACTGAATTATTTCCCTGACTTTTGTGACTTCCATGAATAAATATGGGATGCATCAAGGGCTGGGTATATAACTGGAAAGCATGTAAATATTCACAGTAAAATTTAAAGTAAAAATATCATTAACTGAAAGGGTGGAGAAACTTGTTTAAAAATTATAAAATGTGAACTACAAGAGAAAACATTAAAAGTCTAACTACATGAAAAATGGAAAACATCACATGACAATAGAAGACCAGCTACAGAATGGGAGTGCGTATCCACACTGCCATCATGCAGAACTGCCCGCAAAGAAACACAAAGTCATTCCTACTGCTTCACCAAAAAGGAAAACAACCAAAACATCTGGAAGAAAGGAACATGATCAGCAAATTCACAGATTAGCATCGTCCTATGATGAATAACATGCTATAAACTGATTCATAAATAATAAATGAAGTGCAGATAAACAAGGCAATGCAATTTTAAATATAAGCAATTCATAAAAAGCAGACATTGCATGAAAGGGGCAACTAGATTATGTCTCCCAGAAGTGTCATCCTTCTCACATAACTACCTCCACCCAGCATAGGGCTCTGACCAAGACAAGACACAGGACCCGTGCAGGGTGACTTTGGAATTGCATCCTCGAAAGACTTATTTTAGAGACTCTGCTTAGGTGCATAAGCATGCACTGCATTTGGGAAAAGAAAGCATTTTTCCAGGTTTGCACAAGAATCCATGCTGCACTGCATGCCTGGGCACATGCATTTGGAAAGCAAACGCAGCTTATGCTTTCCTCTTGAAATCTGAATTTCCTCTTTGACGTTAAGAGGAGGCGATTGTCAAATTCAAATTCACGTAGAAAATATGTTTTTTCCTCTACTAGAGAAGAAGCTTCAGGGGGTCGGTAGTTTATCCATGTCTTTGTTTTATTTTTTACCTCCATGCCCCATTTTTAGCTACTTTCCAACCAATGTGAAATGAATATGGTTGAACAAACTATGAACAAATAACATTATTTAGGCTATAAAAGCCCATACGCCAACCCCCAGGTTTCCATAACTGCCCCCTGACTGCCCCACACACATCAGGTGCTGGTGCCTATTTCCTCTGGAATTTGAATGTCATGTAATCATTAGCATTGAAAATGATGTTGTATAATGGGTGTCTCTTCTTAGAATTACTATGAAACTGAGAGAATCCTTACCCAAATGCCTAAAGCCACATCACTCCCTATTTTTCCTACTGTCCTCTTTCTCAGAGGGGTAATGTGAGGACCGGATCTGTAAGGGAAATCATCGTGAAATCGAGCTGTGCTCCTCAGGTCTATCAGTCGGTTGCAGAAAGGTGGGTACAGGACTAACTGCCCGGGACGTGAGACAGCTTCCGAGGTGCCTGGGGAAGGGTGAGGCGGGGCTGTCCTTTCTGGGCAGGCTTTTACAGTGTTTCCAGGTCACGTGATCTTGTGAATGGGATCGGAATCGATCCATGTAATCTACCCACCCTTGGTCTAAGCAGGTCCTGAAGCCATGAACTCTCCTCTGTCGTTTAGCCTTTTCAGGCATTTTAATATTTCCAGCACACAGGTGCCTAATTTTAAAAATAGTTATTCCCTCTAAGAAAAGTACACATTTGTTCCTACGCCTGTTTCTCTCTGCACTTGGAATTTTCGTTATTGAGGTAGAGTTTGTGTAAGATGTTATTTACTACTGTAAGACAGTGAAGCCTAAAGTTCCATGGCACCAAGTCCATTCATGTCGTTCAACCGTCCCTGCTCAGCTTCACATTTTCTCCACCTGAAAGGCCGATTCTACGACAAACTAACCCTTCCCCCATCCCTCCCTGCAGACCCTCCTTCCCCCATTCTCCTTTCTATCTCTACGAATTGCATGGCTCTAGGAATTCACAGAGATTCCTTCCATATCTGTCCTTCTGGGACGTGCTTCCCTGACGCTTGTTCTTGTGTCAAATCACTGTCTTCACAGTATTGATGTCAAGGACTCGGGACTTTCTTTTTCAGTCACCTCTCCAAGTGGGTGATATTTCTGTTACCTTCAGCGTTTCTCTTCCTGTAGCAGTCATGTCTCAGAGAGTGTTTATGCATGCGTCTGTGATTTGATGAAGGGACAATTAAGAAAGGAAATCCCCAATGATCTCATCTGGGCAATTTCTGCTGGATGCCTAGGGACCATGTTGACCTCCAAGTCAGGTGAACAAGGACCAGTACCACTCACCCAGGTGGATTGTCTCCATTGGTACATCTTGTTAACACTCCAGGGAGTTCACACACTTTGTGATTAACATACCATTCCCATTGTATGAACTTTTAATTGGCATTTCATTAATTCTTTAGGAATCTGCTCCAAGGACATGAGTCTGTGGCCCTTTAGCCATGGCATGGTGGTCCCACACTGGTGTCCCACACCATTGGCAATAGGGGTCCCTATTTGCTTCCCACAGTAGCCTGGTGCCTCAAGACGGTCTTGCCACATTACAATTGATGTTTGTCCCCTAATGTCCTTCCACTGGCCTTAAGTGTCCGTTGGTCCCTCCTTGAATTAAACCAGGGTGGCACCTGACCTTCTCATGACAACTCTCCCAAGGCCAACAAATTGGAATCTTCCTTAAAAAAAAAATTCGTAAATATCCCAGTCAGACCTATAATTCTACAATGCTCCAACGACTGCTTCTGGTTCTCTTGTTTCAATTATTAATTTTGCAAAAGCGTTCTCATCTTTAGGATAAAATCTCTTGGTATTTTCCATGGAATGAAAGCATTATGCATACGTTAGAAGAGAAAGTGTTTTCCTCTTTTTTGAAAGATGCATTATGAGTTAAGGACAACTCATTTACATTTTGATAACCTTTCAATGAGGGGCATTTATAGTCTTTCAGATAACTCTACAAATGGGTTTCCTAGATTTAATATAGGCATCTATTTATTTTGAGAAGAAAATGCATTGTCAGTAATGCTTCTTCTAAGTTGTATTACTTATGGAAATTAGACGTGCATGTTAACGTGCATGTTTTTGTTAGTATGATTTAGCAGTGTGATGATTTTGTTGAAAGTGGCTGTCAATTAGGAGAGTTTTTCGATGATGTTGCTAGGATGAGCTACGTAGACAATACTATCAAGACAGAATAACAACCATTTCGGGTTTGATTTGCAAAAGGGCATAGTGCCTCCATTCGTTCTGCCTCTGAGCCTTCGCAGAGTCCGCAGCACAGTGTGGAGCAGAGATAGACAGTGTGGGCTCCTTAGCTGCTTCTCTGCGTTCAGAGGCATGCCATTTATCTGAAAGGTGGTGTTTGGTCTGAGAATGTCCAGTGTTTCATCCGTCTGTAATTCATGCAGAGGCTCTGCCCTTTCTTTGCCCTCCTCCTAGGTTGAGAATTATTTTCAGGACGATAATGGTTCGGATTCGCCTCCCTGTGTCTTTTCTCATCCTTGTTCCCCTTGGGATTCACCCATATTTTTCCTGGTTCTCTCTGGCATCGTTCTGGCTTCTATTGGTGGGTCTTCATCCTGCACAGCGAACAGAGCTGCTCTCTGTCTTAAGACCGTCTGCTTGCCTGAGGGTGTGGGTTGAAGTTCCCCATGAGATAGACACAGGCATTGCAGGTCCCAGACTCTGGCTCTGTGGAGAAGAACCTTTGGTTCTGATGGCATATGGGAAAGATGTCCTGTCCCCGTTGGCGGCAGATATCATCTCTGGCTGCGAGCAGGGAACTGGGAAGCATGTCCTTGGCTGCTTGAGTCTCTGGGCCAATCTAGACAGACCTCAGAGGCCCAGGGGTGGCTTGTAGGGGACAGAAACGCCAGTGTGATTGTCCTTAGCCAGCTGGAATCAGGAAAAACTGTGGATTGCCAGTCCAAACACTTTGGATTGCCAGAAATGAGGAGCAATGAGGTTTTGGTTTTGTCAGACTCCCTAATGGGGCAGGCTTGGGGCCGGGAGACAAGGGCCAAGGGAAGCAGCTCTGAGGGGGGCCCAGGAAGACGGGAACCGTTTCAGAAGGTACCTCATGCTGCTCCATGGCACACTGTGGCGTCTTGACCTTTCCCTTCTCTTCCATGACCTTGTGCCCTCAACCAGGGGCTGCTGTGCTCCTGAAGCACAGACTCCTGCATAAGGAGGGAAGCCCCTCTCGAAGGGTGGCCAACAGGGAGACAGGGGCTGTCATTTGCTGTTCCTAAGGAAATCATGGCTTCAGAGCTATGTGACTTTTCTCCATCCCAGTCAGAGCTTTCGCTCAATTCGACACTGGGGATAGCAGGTGACTTAGATGATATCTGTGCCCACCCCTCCAGTGGTTCTCAAAAGTGGCCGCCCATTGGAATCACCCAGAGAGCTTTGAAGACACCAGGGCCCAGGCAACAAGAAAGACACCCTCAGTGGGGATAACGTGGAGTAGGATTCAGGCATCCATGTTTAGTCAGACTCTCCGCCTGAGTCCAGTGTGGATCTAAGGGACGAATCTACCAAAGACCCACTTGGGCACTCTGTCACCATGCGTGTATTGATGCGGTGGGGCTGGGTGTGCCAGAGAGCCTGTACTGACTGGGAAGCATGGAAGACACCAAGCTTCCCTTGACTCAGTGAACTCAACTGGGATGAGGCCGTCCGCTTTTCCAAACCATTGACATGCTTAGCAAAGAAAATGGCAGGCACAGGGTCATATTTGAGAGAAGTTTATTAGGATTGAAAGAACATTTGAAAACACAACTTACACAGGACATTTGGGCACGAAAATGAACAAAGCCATGAGAATAGTCCCCATCAGAATTGGCACCGAAATCAACCCACAGAGTCAAGGCATCTCATCCCAGGACAGGCAACAGTTTAAAGACTGCAAAGCACGGCTTTGAAATCTTTTCCCATTTTCCCCAAATTACAAAATTGGCAGAGAAACAGACTCAATTGCTAGTTTCCCATTCTCCTCTAGTTCAAAGTCAGCCCGCGATTGGACTCCATGGGATCCAATGGATTTCAATCGAAAGCAACTTCTCATTCCAGTGTGAGAAGTCCCCTGGGGAAGGCGCCTTCTGCTACCATAAGGAAAGCAGGTAGCACTGGCCTGCGTGTCCCCAAGGATCATATGGGTTTGCAGAATCTGTGCAGCCAGCAGCTCTGGGGAGTGGCTGCTTCCCGAGCAATAGGCTGCTCCCTGGGACTCGTCCTCCTGACTCAACAGTCCCCTCCAGGTCTGCTGGGGCCAGAGGACAAGGCTTCATGGCCCTGAGGCGTCTCCCTCCCAAACGCTCTCTTCAGAGGAAGAGGAAACCTGAAGGTCCTCGTAGAGGACACTCGGTGGGACCCGGGAACACTGTCCCTCGGACTTCTGTAAGATGGGAGGGCTTTCCACAGGACGGCTTGTCTTCTCAGCAGGATGGAAGGAGGGAGCTGTCAGGAACCTGGAGCTCCACCAGCCCTTGTCAGATCTTGTGAAGAGCATTCTGAGGGGCTGGCCTGGAACGTGGTGCAGTGGTGGACGATGGGGCATTGTGCAGGGCTGCACAGCGCTCAGGGGAGGCGTGTTGTGGCCAGGCTGGAGGCCACTGCCTTGCAGGTCGGGAGGAGCCTTCGTGGCGACTTGGGGTGCCTCATCCGCTGAACATGGGGGAGGCTGGAGAGTCTGGACAAGACCCTGATGTGGTCTCTGAGGGCTCCTCTGGGGGCTCTGGCAGCGACTGAGTCTCGGTTTCTTTGGGAGGTTCTGGCCAGTGTGAATGGGGAGCCGAGAACCTCTCTTGCCTGCTGCCTGGATGCTGATTTTGCAGTGCCGGTCCCAAAGATGGGCAGCAGGCTGTTGGCATGGTTGTGACTGGACATCCAGAGACCAGGCTTGTGCCTGGGTGTCGGGGGTGTGGCCCAGGCCTTGCGTCTTGCAGGCGGCCTGGGGTTCTTCTGGGCACAACCAACTGGGCGTCTCGTCTCTTAGCTGGACCATGACAGTAGGGTCCTGGGCCCAATGTGGGGACACTCGGGGAGGGCTTGGAGGGACAGAAACTTCCCTTCCATGCTCAAGTCCTCCAGGGGAGAAGAGGCTCACTCCAGGACTTTGGATGGCAGACCCTGCACGGCCGGTGGACATCCTGTCGGGTGTCCTCACAGGCAGCCTCCACGGGAGCTCGAGGCCCGGCTCGGTTTCCCTCTTGGTTGTGTGGACCGGCAGCGGCCTGTTTGCATGCTGGAAGACAACACAACACACAGAGACCACATATGAGAACTGGCTCCCCTTCAAAGACAAAGTCAAAGCAACCAAAGAGAAAGGCCAGAAGAAAGCCAAGCACTTATCCCGTTCAACCGAACAGGACAAGCTGTACAACTGATCCGTTGCAATGGGATGAGGGACTCAGCCTCAGTGGTGCCCAGTAGAGAATGAAGGACAATATTCCCTTGCTACGGGTTGACGTCAGAGAGGAAACGAGAAAGCTTCCTCATCGCCAACGTCTCCACCTGAGGAAGCGGACAAGTGCTCTTTCGCACACTGTTGTGGGGAACGGACAGAGAGCTAAGGATGTGCGGGAGGCAGTTGGGTGACTGAGGTGTTTTCAGGCCCCATTTGGGGGTGTGTGCCAGCATTGGAAGATGCCTCTTCTTCCATCACGGGTTCCACCCCAGGGAAGCTTCTGATGAAAGCCCGTGCACATCCCCCACAGCAGAGTGTTGGCAGACGTGCAAGGAATGGTGTCCAACCAGAGAAAGCAAGAGCAGGGACATCTGAAGAGCACACTGACTGATCCCCTTGGCGGGCATGGGAGGGAACAAGTCCCTCTCCCAGCAGGGGCTGGAGGCAGATTGGGGCTCCCCAGAAGAGCGCAAGAGGGGGCACCTGGGGACACTCACCCTCACGTAGTCACAGGACTCTGTCCCTTCCTTCCAGCTCGGCTGCTGCCTCCCTTGGGGTCTCCTGGGAAACCTCTGCACCAGAGCCTTCCTCCGCTGCTCGTCTTGCCTGCACAAGAAAGCACGTGAGCTGGGAGCAAGTTCCTTTTCCCATCCCGAGTTGGGCCAGACCTTGAGGCGGCCCAGGCCGCCTCCGTGTGGTATAGGGAGACGGGGAGGGAAGCCCTGGGCCTTTGTCCCACCCCCGATTCGTCCCCCTACCCCAGACAGCTTTTCTGGAGGAGTCCTTTCCGTTAGAGCCCAGTGCTTTTCTGTGGCTCTTGGGCGAAATTCCCAAATGTTCCCCACCCCCCTTAGGGACTGAGCCGGAGGAGAACCAGCTGCTGAGTGTGGACCCTGGAGGAGAGGGAGCGCCTTTCCCTTTCTCTCCATGTCGCTCTGCTTGTCTGGAGTTGCCGGTGTGCCCGGGGTGCAGCCGGAGGGACACGTGTGTCTGCTTAGATTTCAGCCCAAAGCTTGCTTCCAAGCTCCCAGGGTGCTCACCTTTGTCTTTGCTCCCTCTCTCTCTCCGCCTGGCTGGAGGGCCGCGGGATGGGCGGGACCTGCTGAGGCCATGGTTCCAGGTTCTCCTTCAGCTTTCTGGAGCCCAAGGGCTGGGGGGCAAGGGCCCCGTGCCAACGCTTCATGGGGCACCTCAGGCTTCTCGCATGGTGCCCAAAGGCTCCGCAGTCTTTGCACTTCACCTGCGGGGGCAGAAGGACATGGTCACCGAGGCAAGAGAAATCACAGGCTGCTTTCAAAGCGGGCTTTGTCAGCACACATTTCGACAGGAGGCTATTGCCTTGGGACAGGGGACTTGACCTATGGCAGTGGGCGTCAGGACGGGGAAGAGGGTGTGGTGCCTCCCAGAGCCTATGGTCGGGAGGGACACGGCAGGGAGGACTGGAGGTCTCAGGGTGAGGACAAGGAGCCCGATGGAAAGACTGAGACCAACACCCAGCTGGACGTGACAGCAAATAGGAAGCGATCTTGTTCCTCCGAGTCTCTGAATGGACCCGTGGGTCTGGTTTGGAGGACCGAAGACAGCGGGGCCTTGCCCGCGGAAGGACAACAGAGTTATGGAGACACAATGGTCCCCGTCAGACCCTGCCCCTGGAGTCCAGGCCATGCCCGCTTCCCCACAGACCCAAGCCTCCACTTACCCTGGGATCCTCCTCCTCTGCCGGGGGAACCCTCGGCCCCGCTGCTCCCTTGGGTTGCTTCTTCCGTTTCTGGGCCTTGGGCAGGCTGGAAGGCCAGTGCCGTGTGGAAGGATCCGCCATCTGCCCCACCTGTGCGGAGCCTCACCTCCGTCTCCCCGAGGACTTGCTTTCCGGGGTTCCTGAGTCCAAAGAAAAAGAAAGCGATCAGACACACACACAGAAAAAAGTCCCTCTCGCACCTCCATCTCCGAGGCTGGGTGAAGGGACCTCTTTGACCACTGAGTCCAAACACATTCGTCGCAAAGGCATCTCTCCCTCCCACATATGTTCTCACTCTCACATGACTCCCTCCCGCCCGAATAGGACTCTGACCAAGACAAGACCCAGGAGGCATCCATGGTGACTTTGGAATGGCCTCCTTGAGAGACGGGTTTGAGAGACTTGCCTTGGGTGCTTCGCGACGCGGTGTGTTTGGACCAAGGAAGACAGGATTGCGCCAGGTGTGCACAAGAACAGAGGCTAGATTTCACGCCTGGGCACACGTATTGGAAGATCAAAAGCAACGTATGCCTTCCCTTGAAGGTTTGAATTTCCGCATTGACATCAAGGGATGCGATTTGGCAATTGAAATTCACATGGAAAAAAGATTTGCCCCGCCACTGGACTGGAAGCTTCACAAGGTCGGCAGGGCCCAACCCGTCTTCTTTTCTCTTTGGCCTTCGTGCCCCATTTCTAACTACTTTCCAAACCATGCCAAATGAGTACGTTTGCACTAAATAGGAACAAATCCATTCACCAGGCTTGAATTGCACATCGCCCAAGCCCCGAGGTTTCCCTACCTTTTCCCTCCCGACGCCTCCCTCCTCAGGGTCTGTTTGCTTTGGAACTGGAGAAATGGTGTATTTCCTCAGTGGCTGTTCACAAGATTCCTATGAAAAATCCCAGAATCCTTGCCCTAGTGCCTAAAGCCATAGCCCTCCCCATTTGAGGACCACATTGGTAAAGGAAACCCACCTGAAAGCGAGCTGTGCTCCTCGTTCCGTCGGTAGACTGTAGAAAGGTGGGTGCAGGACCAACTGCCCAGGCCGTGGGGCAGCTTCCCAGGGGCCTGCGGAATGGGGAGTGTGGGAGGGTCCTTTGCGGTCAGGCTTTTATAGGGTTTCCAGGTCACGTGACCTTGTGAGGGGGATCTCAGTCGATCCGTCTAATCTACCCACCCCCGGTCGAAGCAAGTCCTGAGGCCATGACCTCTCCTCTGTCTCTTAGCCTTTGCAGGCATTGGAAAATTTCGGGCACGCAGGTGCCTAATTTGAAGACTCTCTCTTCTCTGTAAGAAGAGGAAACGTTTGTGCCCATTCCCGTTTCTCTGCGCGCTTTGCCGTTTTGTTATTGTGGTAGAGTTTGCCTTAGAGGATTTGACTCTTTCAAGACGGGGAGGCCTAGAGTTTCACGGCATTGAGTCCATGCACGTTGCTGTGCGAACGTCCCTGTCCTCCATCTGCCCAGCTTTGCATTCTCGCCACCTGGAAGGCGTTATCCAGGAAACCCTACCCCTTCCTTCCTCCCTCCCTGCACATCCTCCCTCCCCCATTCTGCTTTGGATCTCTGTGAGTTGGACAGCTCTAGGAATTCACAGCCAAGACCTCCTTCCGCATCTGTCCTTCCGGCACTGGCTTCCGTCATGCGGGTTCCTGTGAGTCAAATCACTGTATTGCTAGCATTGCTGTGGATCACCTGGGGCGTCCTTTCTGAGTCACCTCCGTCAGTGGTGAATATTGGCCTTCCGTGCCCCATTGCTCATCCTCTAGGGGTCAGTCTCCGGAGAGGGTTAGGCAGGTGTCTGTGTTTTGATTCGGACCAGCGGACAGTTAGGAATGGAAATCCCCAATGATCTCTTCCGGGCCACTTCTCCCAGCTGCCAAGATACCATCTGCCGCTCCAAAGCAGGTCACCTAGGAAGGTTACTGCTCAGCTGGCGGGAGCATCTCCATCAGAGCCTCTTGTGGGCACCCTGGGGATTTCCCACAGTTTGTGATTTGCATCCCTTTGCAGCTGTATGGACTTTTCAATTGGCATTTCACTAATAATTTATGAAAGTGCTCCAAGGACCTGGGTCCGGGGCCATGTAGCCATGGCGTTGTAGTCCCATCCTGGTGCCCTTCCCCACGGGCAGCAGGGTCCCCGCCAAATCTCCCACAGTAGCCTGGGGAATCCAGGTGGCCTCCTTGCATTCCAAGGAATGCATGGCATCCCACGGCCCTCCACTGGCCTTTAGTGTCCCTTGGGCCCTCCTTCCATTAAACCAGGCTGGCACCTGATCTTCTCATGACAACTCTCCCGAGGCCCAAGAACTTGGATCCTTTCTAAGAAAAAAAGATATGAGTCCGTCCCTATCCCTGTCACACCTATACCTCTACAATGTTCCATAGACTGCTTCTGTTCCTCTTGTTTCCGTGATTAAGTTTTCCATTGTGTCCTCGTCTTTAGGATGAGGTCCCGTGGGATTTATCATGGCATGGAAGCATGCCCCATTCATTAGAAGAGAAAGCGCTTTGCTCCTTCTTGACAGATGCGTGATGCATTAAGGAGCACTTGTTTCCATTTCTATGCCTTTCAAGGAGAGGCATTTATAGCTTTGCAGAAAACTCCACAAGGGTTTTCCTAGATTGAATCTAGGCCTCTATTGACTTTGGGACGCAGGGCTCCTGTCAGCAATGCCTCTTCTAAGTGGTGTTTTTTAAGGAAATTCGACACGAATGGTACGTCTTTTGTTAGTTGGATTTAGTAGCTCGCTGACTTTGTTGAAAGCGGCTGTCCATCCGGAGAGTTGTTCTAGGATGTTGCTTGGATGTGCCATGTAGACAACGGTATCACCGGCCCATACCAACTCTTTGTTTTTTCTAGGCAATAGTGCCTCGGGCCACCACTTCTCCTGCATCCGGGCCCTCGCAGAGGGTGCAGTGCAGTGTGGAGCAGAGATAGACAGTGTGGGCTCCTTAGCTGCTTCTCTGCGTTCAGAGGCATGCCATTTATCTGAAAGTGTGGTGTTTGGTCTGAGAATGTCCAGTGTTTCATCCGTCTGTAATTCATGCAGAGGCTCTGCCCTTTCTTTGCCCTCCTCCTAGGTTGAGAATTATTTTCAGGACGATAATGGTTCGGATTCGCCTCCCTGTGTCTTTTCTCATCCTTGTTCCCCTTGGGATTCACCCATATTTTTCCTGGTTCTCTCTGGCATCGTTCTGGCTTCTATTGGTGGGTCTTCATCCTGCACAGCGAACAGAGCTGCTCTCTGTCTTAAGACCGTCTGCTTGCCTGAGGGTGTGGGTTGAAGTTCCCCATGAGATAGACACAGGCATTGCAGGTCCCAGACTCTGGCTCTGTGGAGAAGAACCTTTGGTTCTGATGGCATATGGGAAAGATGTCCTGTCCCCGTTGGCGGCAGATATCATCTCTGGCTGCGAGCAGGGAACTGGGAAGCATGTCCTTGGCTGCTTGAGTCTCTGGGCCAATCTAGACAGACCTCAGAGGCCCAGGGGTGGCTTGTAGGGGACAGAAACGCCAGTGTGATTGTCCTTAGCCAGCTGGAGTCAGGAGATACTGTGCAGTGCCTGTGCAAACACTTTGGATTGCGAGAAATGAGGAGCAATGAGGTTTTGGTTTTGTCAGACTCCCTACTGGGGCAGGCTTGGGGCCGGGAGACAAGGGCCAAGGGAAGCAGCTCTGACAGGGGCCCAGGAAGACGGGAACCGTTTCAGAAGATACGTCAGCGCGCTGCATGGCACACTGTGGCGTCTTGACCTTTCCCTTCTCTTCCATGACCTTGTGCCCTCAACGAGAGGCTGCTGTGCTCCTGAGGCACAGACTCCTGAAGAATGAGGGAAGGCCCTCCCGACGGGTGGCCCACAGGGAGACAGGGCCTGTCCTTTGCTGTTCCTAAGGAAATCATGGCTTCAGAGCTACGTGACTTTTCTCCATCCCAGTCAGAGCTTTCGCTCAATTCGACACTGGGGATAGCAGGTGACAGGTGATATCTGTGCCCACCCCTCCATTAGTTCTCAAAAGTGGCCGCCCATTGGAACCACCCAGAGAGCTTTGAAGATGCCAGGGCTCAGGCAACAAGAAAGACACCCTCAATGGGGATCTCATGGAGTAGGATTCAGGCATGCATGTTTAGTCAGACTCTCCGCCTGAGTCCAGTGTGGATCTAAGGGACGAATCTCCCGAAGACCCGCTTGGGCACGCCGTCGCCATGCGTGTATTGATGCACTGGGGCTGGGTGTGCCAGAGAGCCTGTACTGACTGGGAAGCATGGAAGACACCAAGCTTCCCTTGACTCAGTGAACTCAACTGGGATGAGGCCGTCCGCTTTTCCAAACCATCGACACGCTTAGCAAAGAAAATCGCGGACACAGGGTCATATTTGAGAGCAGTTTATTAGGATTGAAAGAACATTTAAAAGCACAACTTCTGGAGGACATTTAGGAACCAAAATGAACAAAGCTGTGAGCCTGGAAGCTTGTTCTCGTGAGTCACATCACTGTCTTGATAGTTTTGATGTTGAGGACCTAGGACTTTCTTTTTGAGTCACCTCTCCAAGTGGTTGATATTTGTGTTCCTTTCACCATTGCTCTTTCTCTAACGGTCAGGCCCCGGGGAGTGTTGGGCAGGTGTCTATTGATTTTTGGATCTCCTGAGTCAAAGGAAAAAGAAAACTTTCAGATTCACACAGAGAAAAAAAAGTCCCTCAGGCCCCTCTGTCTCCTAGTGTGAATGAAGGGACCTCCTGACCACTGAGTTCAAACACATTTCTTACAAGGGCATCCCTACCTCCCAGATGTGTTCTCCTTCTCACATGTCTACCTCCTGCCGTAATAGGATTCTGACCGAGACAAGACACAGGAGGCATCCATGGTGACCCCGGAATTGCATCCTCAAAAGACTGATTGCAGAGACTCTGCTTAGGTGTATCACAATGCAGTGTATTTGGACAAAGACAGGCAGGGTTTCCCCAGGTGTGCCCAAGAATCCATGCCGAATTTCATGCCTGGGCACACATATTTGAAAATCAAACATAAAGTGTACTTTCCTCTTGAAAATATGTATCTCCTGTTTGACATAAG